TTGTTTATGTTGACCCAGTTCCAAAAAAAAGGTACTTGCGGTGACAATCATAAGTCCTTGGAGATTCATCTAAAATCAGTTGGACAAAAAAAAAAAAAATTGTTTTATAAATAGATAACCCTGGCCCTGATCGAAAGATTCTTGTTTTTTTTTCAAAACTGAGCAAAATGGCGGCCTCAGGAAATTTTTGGGAAAAAATCAACAGTTGGTCTTAAAAAACCTAAATTTTTGGAAACAAAAAACCCTTCGATCAGGGCTGAGCTTATTATGTATTCTAAAAGCTGTATGAATTTCATTAAAATCTACTGAGCAGTTTATGAGTTACAATTGCCACGAGTTCAAAAAACATAGTTCTGATACAAACGCGTTTAAAGTTTCACACTAGCGCTTTGAAGTGCCCGAGCTCCCTTTGTTATTTGTCGAATAACTCACAAATTAATTAAAGGCTGAAAGGGAAATTTTCAGAGAATATTTGTAAGACAGTACTCTTTACGAAAAAAAATCAGACTACCTATAACCCCTTAAAGTAGCCAAAGATCGGGTGACACTTTTATCTGGCGATAAAATGTTGACGCTACTCTTAATCAGCAAATCCCTTACCCCAAAAGCTTCAAAAGGTAAGGACATTCAACAACTTCCAGTGCATTTTATTTCGAATGAAAAGGCATGGATGATGGCTAATCTGTTTAGAGACTGGTTTAATAAATTTTTGCTCTTGAAGTTCGGGAAATATATGGCACAAAAATGTATAAAATTAAAAATACTTTTTAAATGCAATGCTGGTACATCCGAATATTCAATTGTCATTTTTTCCACCTAATACCAATTCTATCTATGATTCAGCCACTGGATCAGGGTAATACAGCAGCATTTAAAATATATTACATTAAGGAAAGGTAAAGATTTATTTTAGATTCAGTGGAAAAAAAATTTAAATGTTTTGGAAGCATGGCGGCAATCAACTTTAAATGCTTGATGGAAAAACATTATACCAGCTATCGTTCAAAGTGGAACTTTAGTAGTGCAAAGATCAGTAATTTGTTCTGAGATTATAAGTCTTTCAAATAATATAGGTGGCGATGGGTTTGGGAATTAACGCAAGAAGATTAGATGATGATTAGGAATTATTTGAAATTATGAAAATTAATGAGAATAAAGATGTCGACATCGACGAAGATAAAGGTTAAGGTCAGGTATTAACAGCTAATTTAATTCGTGAAGGCTTGAAATTCCCTACAAGTTTGGAACAACATTTTCTTGCTCATGATCCTGACACGGAGCTTGTGTGACAATTCCAACGTAAACTTAAATCTTAAGTTGCCGGATATCAAGAATTATCTAAACTGCTGGAGAAACCAGAAAAAACAACTACTTTTAACAGATGTTATAACAAAAATTATTATTAACGGTCTAATAATGAAATAATTCTGTATTTAGAAAAAACCCAACAGTCCATAATAAACGCACACGATTGTTATCCACTAGCGATGAGTAGCTGTACTATTGCTTCCTCATTTTTCTTATTTTTTATTTGTTTGTACTTATGGCTTGAATTTAAACTGTACACTAAATTTATTTTCTTGTAATAAATATAAAATATTTTGTTTTATTATTACTTAAAGGGTTTTAAGAAAATATTTGTTTTTGATTTTCAGTTTACACCATTTTTTAAGGTTGTCGATCAGGTTGCCAAAGTTACATATGAATCGTGTATTTTTTTACACGATTTACACGGTTTATTAAGAACGTAGCGTCAGTGTAAAAAACATGACCGAATTAAGAGTTTGGTTGTGGGAGGGCCGCTCTTAGTATATGACTCTAATTTGACAATTAATCATCGGCTACAGAAATTGATCGACTTTGTTTTGATTCACAGATGGAAATTCAGTTCTTGTTGTTTTCTTCCGTTAACTCATATGGCATCCATACTTCGACCTTTGTTTTGTACCATGTTTAATTACCATGTCAGAATTATGATCGGGCTCGATTATTTCCAGGGTTTTTTGTTGTTTTTATATTATTATCAATTGGCTTTCTAGAGCGTGGTGCACTAGTTTGACACTCCCACTCTGACTCCGTTGTTTGTCCTATTACTAATTTACCCCTACCTCTCTACCATACCCACCAAACGTCAAACATAAAGTCCACTACATCAAATAAGTAGTTTTATTTACATATGTCATTCATGCAACCAACGAAGAACCGCAACGTACTAATGCCTAACCTTCGCTTGGAAATAAGTTCAAAATCCCAAAACTAACAAAATGTTCAAATTAGTAAGTTCGAAAAATTATTTTCGAAACTATTTAATAAGCCATATATTAATTCTTGTATTTTTACAGTTTGCTGTCTGCTTCTTGGCCCTCTTCTCTGTTGCCTTCGGTGCTGCTAAACCCGGGCTTTTGGCTGCTCCATTGGCTTACTCCGCTCCTTTATCCGCTGCCCCCGTTGCCGCTGCCTATGCCGCTCCAGTCGCCGCTGCTTACTCCGCTCCCCTCGCCTACACTGCAGGATATGCTGGTTACGTCGCACCCTACGCCAGCAGCCACTCAGCTCACTCGATTGCCCACTCCGCGGCTTTCCCAGCTGCCTATGCCGCTGCTCCAGTTGTCGCCGCTCCAGCACCAGTGCTCGCTGCTGCTCCAGTTGTCGCTGTGTTGAAGAAATAGATTGGGAACAAAAAATCTTTAATTGTGGAAACTGTGATGTTCTTAGCCACTATGAAAAGAATATAAAATAAAAAACTTTAAAACCAGAATAAAATATATCAAATTTTTAATAGTCGGAGCAGTTTAGGGTATATTTTCTAAATTCTCAAGTCGATATCTTTTGTATTGTCTATGTAAAGTCTAGTATATGTGGTGATCGGGAAAATTGAAAGGCTTTTTATTTTAATGTGTAGCGAGAAGTGTGCTACCCCTAAACTCAGAAGCTGGCGAAAAGTTTCTTTTCAAAGACAAATATATACATAGTTGAATCCATCACCATTATTTCCAATAGATAGTATAGATCAATAAAGTATCATGGAAAATAAATTATATTAATTTAAAAATAAATTATATTAATTTAAAAATAAATTTATTAATTTATTTAGATAAATATCTTGAGTCCTCATTGAACGAAGAGGTTATTTTCAACAATGATTGATCAATTTAAGTTTTTAGCTTCAAAAAATAGTTTCTTATACATTAGGCCAAAAAATTGTTAACAATACTCAAAATTTGTAATTACTCATCAATATTTATCTTGTCACCTTCAAAGTATTACCCACCAGATGTTAAACACTTATTATTCCAGTCTTCGAAACCTTTTTCATAAGCACTTTTTGGGATTGCCTTCAGTACCTTTCGCAAATTGCAGATTATTGACTCATAAGCCCATGTCTAGTCTGCAATTATAATGTTCTCTATAAATGAGGAATCAGAATTTGCAGGATCGAACATGTCCAAAGAGTCCTGTTTAGAGTACTCTTTATGAAAAAAGATTTTGTTTTTATCGGGATGAGCCGAGCAAGAACGCGTTTCATACTCAAAATATCTACTACACTCATTCAAAGAGATTCGCGAGAGGTCGGGCTCTCTTGCCAACTTTACAACTCTTGCCTGACGAATTTCAAGCACCGTAGCCTTCATCTTTTTTAATATTTTCATCAGTTGAGAGAGAGAAAAGCATGTTTTCAACAATTTCAACAAAGTCCACGTGTATTAATTTGACTGCTGCTGAATAATTAGTTTTTGAATCTTAGTGAATCAACTTTTGTTATGTTGAAAAAATGGATACAAATAAATTTTGCGTGGTGATAAAATATTGCGTTTTGTAGGGGAAAAATTTGTTTGAAGCATAAACTCGGCTTGAGGACGAGTTTCCGGGCACTGTCCCAGGAAACTCAACAATCCGGGATTGTTTTGCTAAGCTTAGATGTGGTAAAATGAGCGCAGGGGTGAATAAAGTGGACCCCAAAAAGATATTATTATTAAAAAAGCTCACAAAATAATTTTGGATGACTGTAAAAAAGGTAAAACCTGGACGTGTACATGATATCATTCACGAATATTGGCGTATGAGAAAGCTCTAAGCAAAGTGGATGGCACGCGAGCTCATTTTTGACCAAATTCAACTATGAGTTGATGATTTGGAGCAATGTCGGAGATGTTCAAGCACAATAGGCCAGGTTTTCGCAACATGTGCCAATGGATGAACAACACATGGCATCATCATTTCTCTCCAAAGAGCAATCAACAGTCATCTGAGTGAATTGGCCACGATGAATCCGCTCCAAAGCGTAGAAAAACGCAAAAATCGAATGGCAAGCTAATGGCTTCTGTATTTTAGAATGAAAAGGTGTGGACCAGCAACAGCAACTCTGGTCTCAAAAGAATGTTCGCTGGGAAGAAGCTTTTGTCTCAATATAGGTACGGCGTACCTGAGATCAGTGTAAATTACCGTATTTTCCAGATCTGGCATCCAGCGACTATTTCCTCTTCCCATCTGCATCTGCAAAAGTGTTCGCTGGGAAGAAATTTCCTTTAAATGAAGAAGTGGCCACCGAAACTGAGACCTATTGTTAAGCAAAATACAAATCGTAATTTTGTCAAAAAATGTGTTTTACTATGGTAGACCGCCTTATGAGAGTCGCGGTAGTTCGTAGATCAACTTTTCATAAACATCCGGGTTAAGTTTTCTAAGATATTTTATATACTAACCAATTTATTCGGTATATAGTAAATCCAACCGGAAGTTATAAAATCCTTTTTCAGGAATATGCGGCTAAGTCAAATAATGCGCCGATTTTATCCATTTTAGGCAATCAACTTTTATTAGAGAGATAGTGAGCCTACAACTCGTCAAGATATGCTACATATTTACCGATATACATATGTACGCGTCAACCGGAAGACTGTAAAAATTTTATTTTAGATATGTGAGGGCTATGGGGAATTATGTATACGATTTTAGAGTCTGCTGAAATTGAGAAGATGTCGCTTGGTAATCTAAATGTAAGCCAATTTCCATAATATAAAATGTCCACAGTCAAGAAACGCTAAACAGAAAAGGTTCGAAAATGCAAGGTGTTTAATAATCAATGCCAACTGCATAGTGTGACGCACCCGTGTCTACTTAGTATTACAAAACCGTTATTTGATCGTACCTTTACGTAATTCATGCATTACTGTGCATGAATACCGAATTGCGTATAAAAGCTGTGACTTTTTAACCACAAATATCACAATTCGTTTACCTCTTCGCTTGTAAAGAAGTTCAAAGCTCAAAACTAACAACATGTTCAAATTGGTAAGTCTGTAAAGTTATTTTCGAAGCCATCCAATAAGTCGTATATTAACTCTTGTATTGTTACAGTTCGCTGTCTGCTTCTTGGCCCTTTTCGCTGTTGCCTTCGGTGCTGCTAAGCCCGGTCTCTTGGCTGCTCCATTGGCTTACTCTGCTCCTTTAGCCGCTGCCCCAGTTGCTGCTGCCTATGCCGCTCCAGTTGCCGCTGCTTACTCCGCTCCTCTCGCCTACACCGCAGGATATGCTGGTTACGTCGCACCCTACGCCAGCAGCTACTCCGCTCACTCGATCGCTCACTCCGCCGCTTTCCCAGCTGCCTATGCCGCTGCTCCAGTTGTCGCCGCTCCAGCACCAGTGCTCGCTGCTGCCCCAGCTGTCGCTGTATTGCGCAAATAAGCTTGAGTCTGCTGAAATTTTATACATATTTGAGTCTGTGATGAAACAACTGATAACCCGATATAGAAAATATACATACTATATATGATGGTATAGAATAAACAATGACTTTGCGTTTTCTTCATTCTATAAACAACAATGATATCTCAATGATTTGAATTGGTGGTATTAGTATGTTTCAAATTTGACCATGCTTTTCATTCAGAATTCGAGAGTTTTTGCTAAAAAGTTGAAATATTAACAAAACAGGAAAAAACATTATCTTCATGTACACACAGGTGCGTTTGTTCTAGCTTCAATGTATACAAAAAGATCATTAGCTTCGTTACTTTGGACAATAATCCATTCGAAATCATAAGATCCAACCCACTATCAAGACAACGATTACATTACAATACTTTCAAAAAATATATGCGACTAATGGTATTCCGGCAAAGAAAGGAATTCAGACACAAGACTAGGTGTACAAAACAGTGATTTAGGGTCAACAACATCAAGGTATTGGAATGGGCTGCACAATCCCCTGTAATTAGTTCTATTAAAAATTGTTGGAATACAGTAAGAGTGTCCTACGAAGAAAGTGTTCAAGTAACAACGAAAAGCTTTGCAAATTTATTCATAATTCAATGAACGCTGTGACTAAAAAGGAATCGCCACCACATTTGTCGGCGATTTTCCAGTCCTCGAAACACTTTTCCTAACCACTTTGATCGAATGAGAACGAATGAACGAACTCCTTATTGACCGTCTGTCCTTCCGGAAAAAAATCATGACGGACTAAACCAGGAATATCGAAACAAAGTATGAGCACCACCTTGATGTTTGAGAGGCTTTCTCATGGTGTTTTTGACTTTGGCTCAGTTTTTCCCACCATTCCGATGACTTTTCACTTGTTTGCATGTCAAACTCAGAAACCCACCTCTCATCGGCAGTTGTATCGCGCAATCGAAATTCGCACAATCAAGCATGTCCAAAGAGTCCAGTTTACGGTACACTTTTTGAAAAACCAAAAAACCAAAAAAAAAAAAAAATGCATTTTTATCGACCCAAAATTACCACCAAAATCATTCAAATGGGCTCCCCAGAGATGTTGAACTCTCTTTCCATCTATTTTACACTTGCCTGATGATTTTCAAGCATCATATCCTTTATTTTTTTTAATATTTTCATAAGTTGAAGAGGTCGAAGATCGTCCAGAAGGAGACATGTCTACCGTATTGCAAGCTTAGTGTTTACGACTACAATAAATGGACACTTATCATATGCACGGATCCAACCATCTTGTGGAATCTTACATGATTTCTTTCAGGCAAGTGTTGCAGAAGACCGCGGTGGAGACAGCGGATTTTGAGAGAGGATTTGTTGTTAAAGTTATTGAATCACCGAATACGTCATGAAGTAACTAATTCTGCTTTGGAAGATCTTGAAAACGTACCGATTTCTTTAAGAATTGAGAAAATCATCATCGTTGACGTTTTAAAATTATCTTTTCTAGTGAGGTTTGGTTTTTGGTCTGCTGAAATCATCGATCCGTACTTCTTTCGAAATGAAGCTGGAGATAGCGTTACTGTCAATGCAAACTTTTTAAGGCCGCATTTGGAAGAGGTAGATCTTAACAACACTTGGCACAACCGAATTATTGCAAGAATGCTTTGGAGATTCAATCATCTCAACAAATTGTGTCATTGAATGGCCTTCAAGAAGCAGCTATTTAACAGAATTACACTACTTCTGGTAATGATGATTGAATTCCTTCCTGCAAAGGAAGTCATGAAGGACATTTTAGGGATTTTATATGCAGAATTTAATTGTATCGATTATACTTGCTACTAAATAAAAAACCTTTAAATTTATTAAACAATTTGTGTTTTTTTTTGTTGTTTTTTGTGTGAACATAAATCATATTACTCGTTTTGGAAAACCTTTTATATAGATTTACATACAATCCTTACACATTATATGTGACGGAAAGGGGGCTTAGGTGTCAAAAAATCAATTTTCACTTTTTAGTTCTTTGCTTTTTTTTAACAGCTGTTTCCCAGAAAACTAGTTTTCGCACGTTAGCTTCCTTTTCGTAGACCAGGCAAGTATAATACATAATTATATTATCAGCAAACTTTCAAGTCAGCTAAATATAAGCGAATTTCAATAATGTAAATTAACCACAGTCAACAAAGCAATAAGTAAGAAAGCTGTAGAAGCCTTCGTTGTTTAATAATCAATGTCAACCGCAAAGAGTGGCGCATCAATGCCTAATTAGTATTACAAAATCGTTTTTACCACACTTTTAGGTAATTTATGTACTTAAACGGGTAAATATCGAATTTTGTATAAAAGCTAGTGGTTTTGCACCATAGATATTACAACTTGTTTAACTCTTCGCTTGCAAAGAAGTTCAAAAACAAAAAATCACAAAATGTTCAAATTGGTAAGTTCGAAAACTTCATTTGTGTTTTAATTAAATTATGTCACTTATATAATATCACATTATTCTTTGTAATAGTTCGCTGTCTGCTTCTTGGCTATCTTCGCTGTTGCCTTCGGTGCTGCTAAACCCGGTCTATTGGCTGCTCCATTGGCTTACTCTGCTCCATTAGCTGCTGCGCCAGTTGCTGCTGCCTATGCCGCTCCAGTTGCCGCTGCTTACTCCGCTCCYCTCGCCTACACYGCAGGATATGCTGGTTACGTCGCACCCTACGCCAGCAGCYACTCMGCTCACTCGATYGCYCACTCCGCSGCTTTCCCAGCTGCCTATGCCGCTGCTCCAGTTGTCGCCGCTCCAGCACCAGTGCTCGCTGCTGCTCCAGCCGTCGCTGTGTTGCGCAAATAAATTTGAATCTGCTGAAACTTTATTTTTGAGACTGTGTTGAAATTATAATTAAAAAGACAATATATGTTTGTGAAAACAAAAAGTAGAAACCAAATCTTGATTGTCTTCTTATTCATGATCTTTTCAACGGTCTAGGCATTTCTTATTGGTTCCAAAACGAAATTACATTCTTGTATAGTGAAATAAGTTAAGAGGATACAGGCATAAGGTGTTCTGCCATGTTAAACAAATATAAGATGTCGGAGAAGTAAAGATATTATTGAAATTCAGGTAACGTAAATGTTTTAAGGGAATTTCAAACCGTGTCAAGCATAAGTCATTCCTTGGACAACTCATATATAGTGTCAAAAAAAATCGAATGCTTATTTATTTGGCTTATCGTACTCTAAAAAAACAACCATACAAAACAGGGAAGGAAGTGCTAAGCTCGTGTGATACCAAACATTTTATATTCTTGAAACACAAACAATCACCAATCAGTCACCCGGATGTTATATGTATGTATGGACTAGGTCAAGTTTTCGCCGAATTTATCCATTGACAGAGATACACTAAGATATAATCATTTTCATTTAAGTAGCTCACATTTTGGCCGATATACGAGTATGCGGCATAAAATCACCTTGAAGTTATAATTTGCTAAGGAATTTGTTATTTAATCCATTTTTAGAGAGTCGGTAGAGAGGCCTAAGTTATTTGTCTGACCGAATTCGGCTTTTGTAGCTGTAGTCTTCTAGGAGAATATGCATTAAACCAATTAGAGGGCGAGTCCACGCCTACTTTTCAATATTTTTGGCCTACAGGTGCCCTTTGTAAATACCTGCAAACTACTGCGTTACGTTACAGTTCCTTATCTTAATTTGGTGCTTAGTTGCACTACATAGCATATCGCATAATTGCGTTTTGTGGGCGTGGCAGTGGTCCGATTACACCCATCTACAACACGATGCCGAGAAAAATGTGTACCAAGTTTCATTAAGACATATCATAAAAGCTATTATGCTCTGTAGCAAAATGTTGAAAGGGTATACAAATTTTGTTTTCATGACCACTGCTAAACAATATCTATCTATTTTTGGATTATAGGAACCAAATTATTTTAATTGGACATTCTACAGCTTCGAACCGTTTAAGTTCTCTGATATGGATTGTAGTTTCCTTGTCATGATCCAAAAGTGCTGGTACTAAATCTGAGGACAATATATGAAGGATGTTTAAGGCTTAACTGTGTTCCTTTCCTATCCCCTTTTATTCAAAAGAATTCTAATAAGTCGAGTAAGTCAACATACCAAAACGAAGGGTAGATCCACTGCGGCTGCAGTTCGCTCGTTAACCTTAAATATGAAGAGAGCTCTATAGCTTAAGGAATATGATCTGGTTGTCTTTCCTGAGCGGATCAGTTAATAATATATTAGCGCGAACCACTCCTTTTGGCACTATTAATAAGGACGAGTTAATTTCCAATGATCTTAATAAGTTTGGTGAGGAATTTTCTCCAACAAACTGACGTGGAAACTCAATGTGGACAGAGAGGGTGATAATAGAAAGTGGTTCAGGCTATGCATGTATAGAGATGTTATGGTCAACATGAGGCCTATTACCTGTCCTTATGCGTTGGTGATACACAGCAATAGTCAAGCCAAGCATAATCCTCTAATTTTACTCCCTCACTTCCGTGTTACACTGACGTAATAATGTCTCTAGCGGAAAAATATATTTTTTGTTTATTTATTTATTAGGTTGTCAAAAGAGTCTTGCGGTATTTTCGCTAGTTGGCGCTGAGAGCGTGTAGTTCTAGATGTATTCGTCGCATCAGGTCATGCTATACCTTTTTGGAAAGCTCATTTCACGCGCTAACACGTGTTTGATCGTGGTTTCTTTTATGTCGTTCGTGGGCATAAGTCATCAAAAAAATGTTATGAACAATTGAAAATTCAAGAAAAATACCGTAAAAATACCGCAAGACTTTTTTGACAATCTAATATTAGAATAAATATCAAAAAAAAAAAAAAAAAAAAAAAAAA